TCTGCATGGATAGAATTTCCTGATATGAGATTCAAGTGATTAGGTAGTGCCTTTCCTGTATTTTCCAGGAGATTCAGAAACATGGATGCAGAAAGGAAATGGTTTTAAGATAACTTTGCCTCTGCTTATCCAATAGAGTAGGATGTTCAACTTTTTGTGTAAAATTTACATTGTTGTATCACCCGGAACATATTTAGCAAAAGCACATTTCCTGGTGAATTCAGGTCCTGTTTTTGATTAATGTGATCACAGGAGACCCTAACAGCTTTCTTCATGGTTGTCATTCTACAGACAAAAAGTATCGGAATTCAGAACTTAAGGTGGTATCGAAAGTCTAGTTCACACATCCTCAGGTGACCTCAGGAGCGGGGTCTATGAGCAGGCTGGACAGACAGGTCATGCCTGCACCAAGGCAGCATTTGTGTGAACTGATGCCTCCATATCAGTACTGTACACATACTTCCCACAAATTCCAGGAGAGTGGTGACACTTTTTAGAGAAGCTGGTTCATACAAATTGGACATCCACATGAGCATAACATGGAAGTCTGAGACAGCCCCATATGCACCCAAGACAAAGGATTTAAAGTGAGTTCCACATGGCAAATGTGTTCACTGACTCATAGTTCCACTAAAGCCAACGATGGCAGAGCATCGTAATTCCAAGTATCATAACCACACCCACACAGCTGTGTTCTTGCATTTGTCCAGAAGCATCACCTCACTAGTATATATTTTTTAGTTTGATAGCAGGAGAACGTTATGTTTTTTCTGATTATTTTTTACTTGCTCAAATCACACAGCCATGAAAATAGTTCAACTGTCCCTTACCTACCCCAAGACTGGTGTGTTGAATAACCAGATGTCCTCTAAAAAGGTAAAGGTAAAGAACCCCCGACAGTTAAGCCCAATCGCAGACAACTCTGGGGTTGAAGTGCTCATCTTGCTCTATAGGCCAAGGGAGCCGGCACTTGTCCGCAGACTGTTTTTCCGGGTCATGTGGCCAGCATGACTAAGCTGCTTCTGGCGAAACCAGAGCAGCACAAGGAAACACCATTTGCCTTCCCGCCAGAGCGGTACCTATTTATCTACTTGCACTCTTTGGCATGTTTTCAAACTGCTAGGTTGGCAGGAGCTGGGACCGAGCAACAGGAGCTCACCCCATGGCAGGGATTCAAACTGCCGACCTTCTGATTGGCAAGCCCAAGAGGCTCAGTGGTTTAGACCACAGCGCCACCCGCGTCCCCTACTAGATGTCCTCTAGTACAAAATACACTGAAATATTTGAAAATACATGTGCACATATATATATATATATATATATATGCAGGTTTTGGTGTCCTCGGGTGTCTTCCCGTGTAAAAGTTGGGGTGTCTAGGCGACGTTTCGACGAGGTCTCACTCGTCATCTTCAGGCTGGTGCTTTCGGCTTCTTGTTACTGGAACAGAGCAGGATCTCAGTGTTTGAGTTCCTATAAATACTGTTGAGGGGGTGTGGTGTATAGCCTCCAATGTTCTGGGCAGAGAGGAAGTTCCCAGGCTAGTGTGCCTTTTCTTCTTTTGTTCCTTAATTACTTGAGGGGTATCTTGAGTGATTTCTTGAGTGATATTCTGAGTACCACTTAGGTGGGTCATTAGGTGTGGATTAGTTGCTCAAGCCTTCGTGTCTTGACCTCTTGAACTTTGTGAAAAGTTTTTCTGAGAAGATGGCTGTACTGCACTTAGTTGTGCTCTGGCTTGGCTTCGGGTATAGGGGCGAGCTGTGGTTTTGTGCCCTGTGCCAGCCAGATCTGTGTAGGGATTGCAGGGGGGTGCAGCATCCGGAGGTGCCACCATGGTTTGGCTACTGGATGGTGTCTGTAATTTATCTGTGGAGAGGGTCTGGGTTTGGGTCTGGTGTGGTTGATTGGTGATGGCGTTCTGTGTGCCTCTGGATCTGGTGTCGGTTTTTGTGGGGAGGGCTAATTTCCAGATGTCTGGCAGGCGGGACGTGTCGTCACGCTTGTTCATGTTGTGAGGGTGTTTCTCTATCTCGATGGCTTCCATGATTATTCTCTTGTGGTGATGTTCCATGTTAAAGAGCAATTTGGAATCTGCAAAATTAATTTCGTGTCCTGTTTCTTTCATGTGTTGGAAAAGAGAGGAAGTTTTTTCTTCTTTTTTGACGGCATTCTTGTGTTCTGCGATACGTGCATTTATTCGTCTGTTTGTTTGTCCAATGTACGTGGCTGGGCAGGCTTTGCAGGGTATTTCATAGACCCCTTGGTTTTCCAACTGGATTTTATCTTTGGGGTTTCTGAGGATATTGGCTATTTTTTGGTTGGTGCAAAAGGCTGTTTTGATATTGTGTTTATGGAGGATTTTGCTAATTTTATCTGTAGTGCCCTTGATATAAGGAAGGAGGGCCATGCCATTGTTTTCTTCTGTGTCTTGGTTTTTGGGGGGTGTTTCTTTTTGGATTAGCTTCGTAACCCTGTTTTGCTGGTAACAGGGTTACGAAGCTAATCCAAAAAGAAACACCCCCCAAAAACCAAGACACAGAAGAAAACAATGGCATGGCCCTCCTTCCTTATATCAAGGGCACTACAGATAAAATTAGCAAAATCCTCCATAAACACAATATCAAAACAGCCTTTTGCACCAACCAAAAAATAGCCAATATCCTCAGAAACCCCAAAGATAAAATCCAGTTGGAAAACCAAGGGGTCTATGAAATACCCTGCAAAGCCTGCCCAGCCACGTACATTGGACAAACAAACAGACGAATAAATGCACGTATCGCAGAACACAAGAATGCCGTCAAAAAAGAAGAAAAAACTTCCTCTCTTTTCCAACACATGAAAGAAACAGGACACGAAATTAATTTTGCAGATTCCAAATTGCTCTTTAACATGGAACATCACCACAAGAGAATAATCATGGAAGCCATCGAGATAGAGAAACACCCTCACAACATGAACAAGCGTGACGACACGTCCCGCCTGCCAGACATCTGGAAATTAGCCCTCCCCACAAAAACCGACACCAGATCCAGAGGCACACAGAACGCCATCACCAATCAACCACACCAGACCCAAACCCAGACCCTCTCCACAGATAAATTACAGACACCATCCAGTAGCCAAACCATGGTGGCACCTCCGGATGCTGCACCCCCCTGCAATCCCTACACAGATCTGGCTGGCACAGGGCACAAAACCACAGCTCGCCCCTATACCCGAAGCCAAGCCAGAGCACAACTAAGTGCAGTACAGCCATCTTCTCAGAAAAACTTTTCACAAAGTTCAAGAGGTCAAGACACGAAGGCTTGAGCAACTAATCCACACCTAATGACCCACCTAAGTGGTACTCAGAATATCACTCAAGAAATCACTCAAGATACCCCTCAAGTAATTAAGGAACAAAAGAAGAAAAGGCACACTAGCCTGGGAACTTCCTCTCTGCCCAGAACATTGGAGGCTATACACCACACCCCCTCAACAGTATTTATAGGAACTCAAACACTGAGATCCTGCTCTGTTCCAGTAACAAGAAGCCGAAAGCACCAGCCTGAAGATGACGAGTGAGACCTCGTCGAAACGTCGCCTAGACACCCCAACTTTTACACGGGAAGACACCCGAGGACACCAAAACCTGCATTCCTGTACCCGTGAAAATCTACGAAAGCATATATATATATATATATATATATATATATATATATATATATATATATAGTGGGCTCTTAACAGTATTGACTATAATCACAAAAAGTACTGATTTTTAAAGTTTTACATAATCCTTGTGAACCGTATAATAACAGACACCTGAATTTAAATGATAACCATTTAACTTCAATATATTGATATTGGAGAAAAACCATATGTTCTTATTGGATTTTTCTCCCTCATTTCATTTTGATGTAATAAAAAACTCTATAGATACCTGAACGTGTCCTAAGGGTTGTGATACAATCATATTAATGTCAGTCACATTAATTCTTGCACAAAACTGGTTAGCAAATTCAGACCTTTCCGCATGGATGAGAGAAATTAATTTCCTATCTATTATATGCACAAAAAGCTCCAGTACCTTTTGACATTAGGATTCTACTACCTCTCTCAGAAAAAAATGCTGCGGAAGTTTTTTAAAGTATAAATATTGTGCTGTGAACCAAGGGGGGAAGGTTCATGTCTGCAAGTCTCCGGTGTGCACTATAAATCATACAAAAACACATTTCCAAGTGTACCCTAGCACAGCTGGAGCTGACAGGAGTTGTAGTCCAACAACATCTGGGGGCCCAAGGTTAAAGAGGCTGCATAATTTCAAGGTGCATACATACAATCAAATCAAAGTTTTCCCTCCATGCATCTATTCCAATCAATTTTTATGTCCAGCTTTACATCCATGAGCACGCTCTGCACAAAAGCAGGATCCATCCATGGCTCAGGAAAGGCAGAACAGGCAACATCACGTTCTTACATCACTACATCAAGAATGGCTGCACTTTGAAGGGCCACTTCTGTGTTTGACTATACCAGTTCAGGTAACAGTGAGCTCACAGCACTGAAAATTCTTCCATGCAAGGATATTCCTTCCACACAGAACAAGAAGCATATTAGTGAGAACTAGGCTAGAACCCTAGTCGCTAATTTGCTAGTTTTCTATTAGGAGAGAGGAATACTTGTCATAGTTCCTACTTGTAAAGTGGTGGTGGTTCGGCACAAGTAGGTTTATCACCTGTTACAGTCAAACTAGGCTAGAGAAACAGGTCTGGTAAACCACATCCACAGTAGTCATCTCTACCTATACTGGATATCAGCTGCAGATACCTTTCTACCACCTTCTGTGACAAAGTGGAGAAACACCAGTGCTTAGTTTTCTGGTGTGCGGTCTTTAAAAATGGCACTCTTTTCCCTCTCCAGAAATGGCTAAAGCAGATACACAAAGTCAAAGCCATCTGATGTGATTTCAGAAGTAAAGCTGGAAAAAGTTCTGATCCATATTTAAACTGACAGCTTACCTTATTATGTTCATAGCTGTATGGGATTCTGAGTGTATCCATAGCTCTGATCATAGACTGCATTGCTGTGAATATATTCTGATACACAAGCTTTGTGAAGCCCCTTTTGTCTTCATCAGAGTATCCAGAACCATGGATGATTCTCATCTGTTTGATAAATGTGCTCTTGCCACTTTCTCCTGTACCTGAAAAATAATCAAATACAGATGCATCATTAGACTACGATATCTGAAGAAAATGCAGCAGTTGCACAACTTCATTTGTCCAGTTTAAGTCAAAATTTATTCCCTATTACAGGTGTTTTGGGTTCATGTATTAATTCAACTCTAACAATGTTGTTGTTGTTGTTGTTGTTGTTGTTATTGTTATTCCTCAATCACTGCTTGAAAATGCATAGACACAATAAACTTATGATTAAACACTTTTACACACAATGTAAGAACTAGTTGTACAAATATATTTCCTTGCCACTGGGCAACATTACCATCCATCAATATTCAAGCAATTAGCTACATCAGCTAGGTAGTATTATAACACAGTACTTACTTATGAAACCCAGTTTCATATTCAAAATCATTTAAAAAATATATTTTATTCATTATCCTCTCCTAGCAATTTTTAAACTTCTTGAATTTGGTTTTGAAGTTTTGCTAAACTGAATTTCCTGAATTATTTAGAAAATAAGGTCACTTATGAAGCTTTACATCTCCTCCATGACAAACACACACATTGTATGTGGCACAGTATTCCCCTGAAAGCTGAGAAAAGATGCAAAGTGATTATTTTATAAAATCCTGGACAACTTCAAGAATTAGAAAGGATGAGACCCTTGAACTTCCAGATCCTGACATCATCCTGGGGTTTTCAAAGAAGTGCAACAATTTTTTTAAAAAATCATTATCAAACGTTTGCTTAAAAAAGAAACAGCAGAACATCATACAATCCCAACACAAAAAACAAAAACAAAAAAATCAGCAGCTAAAAAAATAAATTGAATATCTGAGTGAATAAATAAGTCTTAAGATTTATACCACTCAGCCCAGTGAACAGACTGAGAAGGTTCTTTCCTCAGTAGCTGTCAGTCTATTTCTGATAGAAGTGGAAGCCAATGAAGGGCCTCTGGTGCAGAGCTTAGCATATGGGAAATTTCATGTGGAAGTCACTGGTTAAATCTTACCTCCTGTATAGTTTTTAACAACATGAGACTTATCACTATAAGAATAAGTGTTAACTGAACCCTGGGTTGCCAGATGCTGTTGGAATACAATTCCCATCATTTCCAGCCAGTTTCGCCAATGGCCAGGGATGATGGGAATTGTAGTCCAATAACTGCCGGGGATCCAAGATTGAGGAACAGTGGACTATAATATATTTGAGTTTCCATGTATGGAATAATAGCCAAAATGCGAGGGGGGGGGCGAGATGGGAGGAGAAAGCACGCACAAAAATGTGTACATACAAACTTGCAAGGCAGATTTAAAAGAATTGTATTTTTAAAAAATTGGCAGGAACCCCTGAATGTGACTGAATTTGGAACTCTTCAAATACTTCCTCTGACTCTCTAAAAGCTGCACGGTATGTACACCAGAAAATGGCAGCTCGGCTGCATGGGTCTCCACAGTAATTGATGGGCTTCACTCCAAATAAGTGGTGGCATCCTGTTCCCTCCTCTGAACTGCACTTATTTCTGGAATTAATATTTTATCATCTTCCCCCCATCTACTGGTATAGGTCCTGCTCCTTTTGAGATGACAGTTCCTGGAAGAAGGTGATGACAATCCTTTCTGCATCTTCCTCTCCAGGGGTAATATGAACTTCCAAATATTGACTCAACAGGAAGGCCCCTTTCCTTCCTTTGCCTAACTGTTCCTTTTGATATCAGCCCCCTTGCTGCACAAAGGGATCACTCTGGCTACTTCCTGTTAAGGTTATATAAGCAGAGCATCTTATATAAAGAGAATTTCCTTTTTCTTAATTAATAGCATAATCTTCTGAATATCCATTAGGGTCACTTCTGGGTGTCTCTCTCCCCAATACCAGTAGGGCAAGAGGAAAGACCAGTAACCTGCATCTTTGTGACTTCTTTCTGGGTGCTCCATGCTTCTGTTTTACCAAGGGAATCCCCAAGTATATAGAAAGCATATTCTTATTTTGGGGTGCACCCATTTCATTTCCAAACCCCAAGTTTGCAATTAGAAGGAATGATCAGTGACCTAAAACAAAGCTCAGGAGCTTCATATCCAGCAACCTCCCCCTAACACTCTGTTATGCAGAGCTCTGAAATTCTTCTGTTTCTCTAAAATAATTAGCAGTACAGAAGAACTGGGAAGAAGGGCAGTCTTCCAGAGGAGAAAATTGAAGGGTGTCACTAGGCACATGTACAGTGATACCTCGTGTTACATACCGCCCCCCTTACAAATGCTTCAGGTTACACGCTCCACTACCCCGGAAGTAGAAGGCCCTTGTTGCGAACTTTGCCCCGGGATGTGAGAGGAAGTTGTGCTCCGGTGGCGCGGCAGCAGCCAGAGGCGCCATTAGAGAAAACACGCCTCATGTTACGAGCGGTTTCCGGTTACGAACGGACCTCCGGAACAGATTAAGTATGTAACACGAGGTACCACTGTAATGAGTTATATGGCTCTCTGTTATATGTCCTGTAACTTACCAAGACATTACAGCCAAATCTGTTACCTGTTAAGACACCTATCAGCGAGCCACTTGAGGAATAAACATCAATTTTTGAGAAATGGACAGCCATACCTCAGGCTGAAATAGCTTCCGGTTGAGCATTTTTGGGTTGCGCTCCGCGGTGTCCTGGAAGCAACGGAGTGTGTTACTTCTGAGTTTCGCCGCTCGCGCATGCACAGATGTTCAAAATGACGTCACGCCCATGTGCAGAAGCGGCGAATCACAGACGCGGGTTGCATTTGCTTCAGGATGCAAACAGGGCTCCGGAACAGATCCTGTTTGCATCCAGAGGTACCACTGTAGCTGATATGACCCAAAGGTATACACTAAACTCCTATTTATAAGGTCCCTGGAATTCGTGCAATAAAAACAGAAAAGGAGATCTGTGCTTCACTTTGGGGAGGGGGAAGAGAAGAGGCAGCACTCATTCCTAAATAGCTTTCGGTACAATATATTTTTATTGTGAGATCAGTCTCTTCTGAAACTGTCTCTGTTTATGAGCAAAGTGGGGCCTATAAGAGCTATAACCTCAAAAGAAACAGATTTCCTAAGAGTTCACTTGGCTATTTTTCCAATACTTAATTTTTATAGAATTATAGAATTTTATAGAAGCAGGTGCATCAAAAATAATAAGTAAGCATAGGTTTAAAAACAGGGAGCATGAATCACAACCTGTGGTCAATTGCAGCAGCAATTCTAATTCAAGAAGGAATTTCAAGAAGTCAGTCAGTGAGCAGTTTTCTACAATATGTTTAGAATTCTGCATACAGACAAAGAGTATAAAATACATATACAGTGTGTGCATCAGATATACGTGGAAATCCTTATAAAATACACATGAATTGATTTTTGGTACTTCCTTGTTCATGCCTACTTGAAGTGTAAATATGCAAAGTTTAAATACAAGTCTGTCTAATATTTGATGTAATATATATGTATCTTGCACTCTGGCATTTACCTAAATACACAAATATTTTCTAAGAAATGGCTCTGAGGTTTCAAATGGCTTGAAATTCGCATTTGTGAACACATCTGCTCATGCTAGGCTTAGTCAGTATGCCAATATGCCATGTATGTATCATTGTTTTAAAAAATATTAGGGTACACACAGACAAACATATCATTACACTTCGACACCTGATGTGTGATACAATCCTATTTGACATTTGCAGGATGAGACAGATGACTAGAGCTGGGTGATATCTGGTTTTCAACATCACGATATTACACCAGCTAAACATCACGATATCTCGATATATCACGATATATATCCGCGGCGGTGGAAGACCTTGCTGGGCCTCCCAACAGCAACAGAGGATCCCATCGTATCTCCCCGAGGCGGAGGATACAGAGGTTCTTGCCGCACCTCCCCAGGGCGGCAGAGGGTGTGCAGCACTTCCCCCAGAAGCAGAAGCCCTTGCAGCGCCTCCCTGTGGCAGCAAGGGGTCCTGCCATACCACAGCAGAAGAGAGCCTAGCCGCACTTCCCCACAGCAGCAGAGAATACCACTGTACTTCCCTGCAGCTGAAGGACATGCGCCACACTTCCCACGAGGCAGCAGAGGGCTTTGCCAGGCCTCCACGTGGCAGCAGAGGGTCCAGTCGCACTTCCCTGCAGCAGCAGAGGGCCTTGACACACCTCCCCATGGCGGCAGAAGGTGCGCCACGCTTCCCCGCAGCAGCAGAGGGCTTTGCCGTGCCCCCCGCAGTGACAGAGGATCACACCGTACATCCCCGCAGTGGTGGAGGGTGTGCTGCGCTTCCCCACAGCAGCAGAGGGCCTTGACAAGGCTCCCTGTGCCGGTGGAGGGCCTTAAAATGTAAGGAAGTAGTATATTTAATAAAAATATTAAATAAACCTTCGTATAATATATTGAATATATTTTCAACTAATTTAAGAGTAGTTTAAGTGATTCACTAGTCAATTTGCATCTGCTTCCCCACTCAGAGGTCTAAGCGGAATCTGTGCATGCAGAAGCCCCACTGAGTTCAACTAAACCTACTTCTACTTTCCTGGGAGCAAGCCTCATTGAATTTAGTAGGGCTTGCTTGCAAGTAGACATGCATTTACCTGCACTGCTTACTGAAAAACACCCTCCCCATCATTCTCACATAGTACCCAACCTCCCATAAAGCAGCCAGCTAAATCTTCTCCCCTCCATTCCCGCCCCCCACAGAAGCCTCCCCCAAAGCCCTCATCCCACCAATCTCTCCTTTTTATCAGAGGGAGGGCAAGCTAGCAAAAAGATAGTCTCCTTTAATATATATTTTTTTATAAAAACTTTTCCTTTTTAATATGGAGGAAAGCTATTTAGGGGGAACCAACAACATAAACACCAACAGAAAATACAAATAAAAACTCTTTCCCCTCTTTTTTTGACAGTGGGGATGAGTGTGAGGCTTTTTTTCTTCACATTCTTTGCTGCTGGGTCTATGATTGTCTATATTGTTAGCAAGCTCTGCATAATTAGCCGACCTCTAAGTGGCAAGATAGGGGT